GACAGAGTACTTCAAAAAAAGTTATAAGGACCAATTCCATTCTTTCAGAGATTTCATCAAGAATCATACCAAATGATGTTTAGAATGCTATTTTTACGAAGAAGATCGATAGACTTGAAGGATTGAGCGAAATTCTGATCGTCAAATTTGATGAAAATAATAAAAAATATGATTCGTTTGAAGCAAGACTCGATATTTCGTAAAAACATTGTGAAAGTTCAACATTTCCAAACAATATCATGCCTCATTACATCATCTCCTCAGAAGACACATCAACTGGACATTCCAAGAAAGATCAAGAATCAATTAAATCAATTAACCTACCAACTTTCTGGAAACAAGAGCCTGCATTATGGTTTAATGTTGCTGAATCAATTTTTGAAACTCACGGAATAATTTCATAGAGAAATGAATTTGGGAAAGTGATTTAAATGTTGGACTGCAATATTGCGCTCTGTGTTGGTTTTGTAGGTCTCTCTGTATATATTTTCTTCCTAATATCCATTCGTCTCAAACACACTGTGTATTATTTGAATATTCATCGATTAGATTTTAATCTGCAGCTGGTTTTTGCTGCTCACCCTGTAATAAATTATAATATTCCATTTGGTACAAGATATTTGATCTGCCTCTGGAATTCAGCTCGCTCTATAAGTATGTGATATTTCTAGCTGAATTCCTAGCCTCGCTACGCTCGACTATGAATTCAGCCTCGGCAGTCAATCTACTACTTTGCTGCCTAGTTAAACAAATAACTATTTCTATCTAGTTACCTACAGAACGCCTTCTTCTACTTCAATGTTCAATGTGCCTGTGTGATATTAATCATATTATTATTGTACTCGTATACTTCTTATAGGTGAATAAAGCTATTCTATTCACGACGTAAAAATCATAATATGTATAACATGGGGGTAAAGTATATTCTAATCTTCATTGACATGACATGAGTACAGTAGTTCAGATATCCACATCGAGGTTTTCACCATTTCTCAATCATGCTCAGCTCATTCAGCTCATAATCAAACTACTGCTCAGCTTGAAATCAGAATTCATTCAGTCAATTCAGTCAACCCTGGTATACAGTCTAAGAACAGTCTCTTTTGGTGGAATATATTAAGCTTTTAGTAGAAATTATATGTTCCCTACCTCGCAAAGATTATACTGGATTATGATACGCCAATGACCTCATAATAACCTAAAAAACAATAAATGTCAAAAATCGTCAGATGACCGACGCTGGAGGCAAAACATTGAAACAAAACGTCACTTTTTTTATTTGTTTACAAGTGATCGAAATAGTTTTCCACAATTATTTTGGCATATGAATCGTATTTTTCCGCTATTCATCAATTCGCTCATGCCATTACATTGTGCTGTTGTAAAATGCACAAAAACTGCAGCGGAAGATGAAGGAATTATGATTTAAAAGTGAGTAGGTACCTACTATAGTAACTCACATATAGTTTTCATTTTTGAAATTTGGTTATTTCTCTGATTTCTCATCGGAATTCCTTCTGCAATAAGAACTAATAGAAATATACCTGAAATTTCTAGAATAATGCAAGAACATTGGATTCATGCCATCAATCGGGAGGACTGGTCTGACATGATGACGATCGTGTGTGTTGTAGACATTTTCAATCTATTAGCAGTATTATAGCTTGTATTGCAGAAGTGGCAGAAGGCAGAAGGAATTTTAATAAGGAATGACAACATTTTATAATGATAACTATGTGAGATTACTATTCACCTGAAAAATCATATTCCCTAGTCTCTTGCTGCATTTTTTGTGCATTGTACAACAGCACAATGTGAAGGCATGCTTGAATTAATGAATAACGCAAGAAACACGATTCGTATGCCAAAATATTGTGAAAAACTATTTCAACCTTTTGATTCCTCTGTAAACAAATGAAGAAGTGAGGTTGTGTTTCAGTAATTCACAGAAGAATGAGGTTGTGTTTCAATATTTTGCCTCCAGGGTCGGTCATCGTGCACGCGACCTATAGGGATGGAACTATATAACTGTTTCACAAACACTTTAGAGTGAGAGGAGAAGAGGATCTGTCCGTACCCTGTTAAGATGACTTTAACCGTTGATTGATATATTACCCTTACGAACTTTTTTTTTCACCGATGCTTTTTCACTTCATTCTGGATATCCTTCCTCAGAAAATATTTGAAGTGAAATAGGTTAGTGCGTTTAGGATGAGTCTCATTTTTAAATTTCCAATTCGTTTTCTCAAGTAATTTTTCCGAAAAACATTTTTTCTAGGAAGAAAACTATTTTAGGCCGACAGGTTAGGGTAGGTGTTTGGGAAAGGTAGTCTCCTTTTTAATGGTTAGGTAGAAAATGATTTTTCTTCCTCATATTCGATTTCAGTGCTGTTTTTATTCATGAAATTTCGTTTAGATTTGATTCCACGAATTATTGACTCATTTGGCATCACTGCCCTCTCTCGGTGTATGTTCGAGTAATTTCGGTGGCTCCTCCGTTAGCAAGCTAGACTCCAGTTTTAAATAGGAATAATATGATTGTATTCTTGGTTGCATAAATAATAATCTGTCTCATGACTCAATCATTGTCATTGAAATATCAGGAAAAACATGAATGAAAATAGATAACTTTTTCAAGAGATTTATACAGTATACTTCAACCATTATTGTTTCAACTTCCATTGGAATTCATAGGCGTTCGTTTCTATTGCTGAACTTGCCAGAGTCCATTTTTTCCATAGTTATCTGTGTTTATAACATGATGTAAACCGAAGAATGAAAAAATTTAAGTTTAGAAGGTAAAGCTGAAGCAAACAAAACGGGCCTCCTCAGGAATCTTAGTATGCCCCGATGGCATTTAAACATTCCGGTATAGAATTCGGCACCTGCTTAAATTCTATTGGCGGATTTTGATTTGTCTGACCAATTAAAGGCGAAGTGCCGAAATCCGTACCAGAATGTTGAGCGGTGCTGAAAAGCAGGTCGGAATGTTGCCCTGCATTTTGCCAAAGATTAATTTTGCGCGGTTTTTGTTTACATTTACCCTCGCATTTACCTAACCTGCGTATTTTTTGATTATACCGTCGTTCCCACATGCTAACAACAAACCTGCAATCTTGTTATTATAGTTAAGTGCAATCATCAATTAGTGAAGTATACCATAAATCACTAATTATGGAAAGATTAATAAAAATTTCAGAAAATTTGTATAGGGGCAATATGAAGAATGAAACAGAAGTTGTGCAATGGATGAATGATTATGAAGCTCAGTCGTTTACATCATGGCGTTTCAAATCAGGCTCTACAAATATTAAAAGATTCTTGTACAGGTAACAAGTTTATGTTCTTTAAATATTTTTTTATTTGCTCATGAAATGTATTCGAAGAAGACGAAGACGCAGTTTGGCAGGTAACGTGGCGAGAAATCAACCAAACGCTAAGTCCCATGGAATAGGACATTAACAGACATTAGGTGTTCTAATGATTGTTATTTCGAATTCATTATCTCATTTCATCACATATAATCATTCATTTGAAACTTTTATACCAAATAATCATCATGAATATAAATGAAAATGTCTAAAGTTGTTGAAAAATGCGTTCATTACACATTATCTCGAGCTTTCATTTCATCAACATTCCGACCTGTGTTTCAGCACCGCTCAACATTCTGGTACGGATTTCGGCACTTCGCCTTTAATTGGTCAGACAAATCAAAATCCGCCAATAGAATTTAAGCAGGTGCCGAATTCTATACCGGAATGTTTAAATGCGCCCCGATGCCATAGAACATGAAACAAGCTGATGTGACGTCAGATCTCTGAAGTCTGAATGGCACGACCGGGCCAAGGTTTTTTGCTACCGGGCTTCCGTAAAATCCTCTACCGAATTCTGATGATTCTGATAACAGTGATAACTGTTGAAAGTAGGGGTTCAAGGTAGAATAGAGCTCTATCGAAGATTGTGAAAAATGAAGGATATAATGGTGACAATGAAATTAAAAATGAATGGAGTTGATAATGAAGTGAAGTTACACAGGTAAATTGTGGTAGTGGGTACCGTGAAAGAAATAGGATTTCAAAAATAGGTGATGTTGACGTTGGATTTTGAATATCTCAATCCGTCTTTAGAGACTCATGAGTCTCGAATTATTCAGATGATGAAATGGGAAAAAGAAATAGAAATCTCACCTAACATCAGCTGCGCCCTTGGAGGGCGAAAATTCATTACTGCATGGGAGGTACCCTTCAGATTTTAGCTATTCATTGACTTGGCCACGAATGACATTGACGTTGAAGTCTTCTGCCACGATTCAATTTTAGTGGAAAGACATAAGAGGATTAAACTGTGCCGATCATGGACGTATGCCGATCGTGATTCGATCGAACGTACGCTAAGCGATCGTTCGGAAATCGTCTGCATACTTTCCTGTGGCTCCTCGCACGGCTCGCTTGCTCGAACAGCGATGATGCTAGTTTATTTATTTAGGAGTTTAATTTCTCGCGCTACTGTCGAATATAGATAGTATGAAGGAGAAGGCCGGTTAAAGCGTTGATTGATATATTATATTACGCTTAAGCGTAAGCGTAATATATCAATCAACGGTTAAAGTCAGTCTGTTATTGAAACGTAAGTGGGAAGACATAAGAGGATCAAACTGTGCCGATCGCGATTCGATTGAACGTACGCGAAGCACTCGTTCGGAAATTGTCTGGATACTTTCCTGTTGCTTTCCGCACGACTCGCTTGCGTGAACAACGATGATGCTAGTTTATTTATTTAGGAGTTCAATGGCTTGCGCCAGTGTCGAATATAGGTGGTATGAAGCCTATGAAGGAGGAGGCTGGTTAAAGTCAGTCCGTTATTAAAACGCATGTTGGGTTATTAGCCACCCAGTGCAGCCAGTTTAGTAGCCACGGTAGCCACCTTAAATTTTAAACCCTTTTAACGCATGCGTCATGCGTCTGCTCTTTTAATCATAATTTTTTTCATTCCATTCCATTCGTATTGTGTAGTTTGTGGACGTAGTTTAGTTCGTGATTTTGTGATCGAAATTTTATAGTGCTATTGTTATTACGACCTTCTTATCGAAATAGTGAAAACTGTGTCGACATACTCGAATAAATTGTAAGTACAAATATTAATGTTCCCACTTTCTGTAGTGTAAATCCAGTGGCAGAATAGTTCAGAGCAAAATGGCCGATATTGATTTTTATCTTCAACAAAAATTAACTTTTCCACTAGAAATCGCATTGTTCTATTTTTCAGGAAAGTAACATTTGTCCATTACAATTTCTTGTCTCAGGTAGAATGGATGCATACACATTTTGAATGTTATACCCTGTCTGAGTAGGAACTAGGAACCAAGTGACAGGTAGTTCTGCTGTTCTTTAACCTTTGAAGTTTTAATGAGAATTTTTTTATATATTCATAAATATCAATATCATGACTTTGATAAAGTGAATATTATATTCATTAATGTATTCAGGTATTCACCTCTTGAAATTAACAAAAGCATGGAATTTGTGCTGATGAACCTGTAGGAAGTGAAAAGAGCTATGTGATTGTCATTTTGTGAAGAATAATAATTATTGTGACACTTATGATAGGATTGTTGGATCATGTCAGTCAGGTTTCAGAAGGTTAGAGTGATTTGAATCCTCATTTGAATCATATCTATCAAATTTGCAATACTCAAGGAAATAAAGAATGAATTGTAGGTATGAGCATGAGCAGCTTTCAGGCTATTTTATTAGCATTAATGTAACCGTCATTGTGTTTGTGTACCTATATCTATTTCTTCAGTTTATCTTATTTTCAAAATGTTGTCTGATCTCAAGTAGTTCAATTTCATAATACCTATCAGGGCATATAGGCTATTTCTTACTACTTTGGACTAGGGTAAGTAGGTAGGTATCTAGTATTTTGATGTTGAGTTGATATTGAAGCAAGTATAAATTTCATAAGTTATGTTATCTCTGTTCTGCCTTATGAAAACACGAAAATCACACAAGCATCCCAATAACATAAAAAAGAAAACCAAGAAAAACTTGAACCCTATCTCTTTCAAATAGATGATTTATAATATAATTGACATTGACAATTTGTAATTGCTGCCAACAAGAAACATGAAATGTCTGACCCTCTCCTCTACCAATGACGGCTAAATATCTAGATTGTCTGACGGGTATAACCTGTCAGACAGTCTAGACATTCAGCCGTCATTGCTGTGTTGCTGAACCTTCTAAAGTTGATTTTTTCCATTATCTCATCCGAGATCTCATCACATCCCACAATGTCGAGCACAATGTATACAACTTGCCCATAACTATTTTTTGAGGTGTTCAATTATTTTTCTGTTGACATATTCAAAATCTACAGGAAAATTATAGAATACTGTTCTTTGTAAAAAAAATTCGATGATGAATAAAATAGTTGAGGGGGGGTTCAAAATATACGTGAAGACCCTGAACATCTACGAGGCAGGTGGCAGGAGGTGATTTTTTTTCTAACTGACATGTCATTGAATGATCCGTATAAGTTCGAGGTATAGTTTCAGCTTTTATCATGTTTGACCGAGTGTTTGACATTCACTCGATTTTTTAACAAAATTGATAAGCTGCTGATAATCGTTGTCTCTATGGTGCGCCGGCTGGAGTTGAATTTATGTCTAAAAACCGTTGATATGGCACGAAAAAAATGAAATTATTATTCAGCAAATGTGTCAAAATAGTCGAGATGACCAAAGTATTTCGCGCTCGAGTTGCAAACAACATTTTTTCTACAAACGTCAAAAAATATAGTTCTAAAGTAAAAATATGCTGTTGAACTGGCTTAAAAGGCCTCCCTAGGTACGCAGGATGTTCCATGAACATAATAGGAATTTCCTTTCGTGCGCTCCAAGAGATAAAACAAAGTTATTGTTGAACATGAGCCGGGATTGGCGCAGTGGAAGAGGGTCCGTCTCACGACCGCAAGGTCGTGGGTTCGATTTCCAGCACGGGCAAGGAACTTTTTTCAATATTTTATTTACGAATTAAATATTGTAAAGTTTCGGAGCATCGGCTGGGGATAGTCCTGCACGATTCGCTGTTGCGTTCCAATTAACAGTGCTGCTCCTAAAGTGGCGCATGGAGTTAGTAACAAAGCCTACACAGAACACGCAGAAAGATATGATGATGTGGTTGTGAGCATCAGAGAAGAAGTAGGACGGTGTATGTAGGTGGGTGTAGAAAACTACCAGCTGAGCGCGAGAGCGGGCCAGCTGCTTAAGTAGACCTCGGTCTCGGGGGTTAACGATGATAGTTAGCAGGCCTGCCACTGCGCACATGGTAGTGAGTACATTACTAGCCTACAAAACACAGCTGAAAAACTCTGAAAAGAGAGCTGAGGGGCGGTGCCTGAAAAGGATGTTAGCCAGCTCTCTTGAGCGAACCACATCAGTCATTGAAAACACTTGGGGTTGGCAAAAAGGTCCCATTGGGGACTAGTTGCTGACGTGGAAACGTCCCCCACCACTACCAGTATTGTTGAACATTCAGAAATAAAAGATTTCGTGGATGTTTGCTCGATTGAGGATCATAAAGTTGAAATATAAATATCTCATATATTTTACATAACAATGCGCGAAGTGGGTACTTGCGCATTGTTTTGTGCAAGGCATCATGGTAACGTATAGGAAACTGAAAAAAAGTGTCACATCGCAATTTGTTATCAATGCGCGAACGTTGTCATTTTTTGACGTTTGTAGAAAAAAAGTGTCTCTGTATCCCCAACTATTATTGAACTCGTCATGTAACACTTTATTATGATCTGAATCTTTGAGGGTTTGCCAGAATTCGTTTTATTTTGTTTTGGTGTGTGTGTCGGTATAGAACCTACTTTATTGCATTAGTGTTTCACATTCTCATCACACATTCGCTAAAATTAGTGGAATTACACCTGCGTCCCGCCTTCATTTCAGAAATAAACCCATTTCCCGAGTCAATTCCTTTGGACTTTAATAGGCGAGTGGATCATTTTTCTATTATTTCTTGAATATAATCATCACTTAAATACCTTTATATTTAATATTTTTTTAGTATTTTTCTGTCGATTTTTAGGTGCTAAAATCATCAATAATGCCAACTTATGTGAAGTTGGCACCGACTTTTTTGAAAAACTGAATTTTTATCGGCATTCCGGTTAGATACGATAGAATTCTGGAGTTCCTGACAAAACATTTCGATAGTTCTGGTTAGTTGTAGAAAATAACCGAAAAACAAAATTGTGGGTGCTAACTTCACGCGGCGCCCCTTTTTTCACAGAAAAGAGTTCTCATGAGAAATTTCGACGTATTTGAAAGAGTTCTGGAGTTCCTGATATATTTCAACGATAGTTCCGGCGAAATAACAAAGTTATTCCTATTTTTAATAGGGACATTCATACGCTCATGTAGCATCCACCACTTTCTAAAGTTCGGATCGGAGTTCTGGGTAGCACCAGTCGAGTTCCACATACTATCTATAGGTAACTTTTATCTCTAACATCGAAACTTTAGTTTTCATGAGCGAAAACAAGGGACCGACTGAAAAAAAAAGTATTGTGAAAGATTTTGAAAGGAGAGACAATAGAGGAGTTCTGATCAGATTTCTGGGTAGCACCAGTCGAGTTCTACATAATACCTAAATAAGTTTTTTTTCTAAAATCAAAACTTTAGTTTTTATAAGCGGAAACGAGGGACCGATTGAAAAAAATATGTTTTTTCTGTGACGGGAAAAAAGTTTGGCATTTCATCTCTGTTGGCAGGTTATAAAATGTCACTTTTCATAAATTACTTTTTTCCCGTGGGAAAAAAGTGAGTACTTCTTTCCCGGATATATATCACATATATATACTCTGTTAATGGCTTTTGTTGTGATATAGTTCCGAAAAATGAGTCAATAATACCGTCTCCGAGAAAGAACTGCAAGTCCTTTTATCTTCCATTCGACTTCGCGGTTTCGTATATTACTGAACAACTACTGAATTCGCAATTTTTCAAAATAAAATCACAGAATTGAACTGACAGAAGTGACATCAGATATTTGATTACTTCAAAAGAATGATAAAGATGTCTATAAAACGCAGGTGTCCCTACTGTTAAAAACTTGAAATGCACGTCGATAATTTTCAGATTTCGAAATAATGTAATATCTTCTCAATATTGATTCGTCCTTCCTTCTGTCACAGAAAAAAATAGTGTATTATACACGGGAAAAATATTAGATTTTAGCTCACGGTTTTTTGTCTCCCTCCGCTACGCGTCGGGAGACAACACAACCTGGAGCTAAAATCTACTACTTTTTTCCCTTGTATAATAAATAACTATTTGTGAACGATTTGGAAAGGAGAAAAAATAGAGTAGTTCTGATCGGAGTTCTGGGTAGGTTCTGAAGTTTTTAGATTTTAGAGAAAAAACTCATCGAGGTAGTATGTAGAACTCGACTGGTGCTACCTAGAACTTCGATCAGAACTCCTCTATTGTCTCTCCTTTCCAAATGGTTCACAAAACATTTTTTTTCAATCGGTCCCTCGTTTCCGCTTATAAAAACTAGAATTTTGATTTTAGAGAAAAAAGTTATCGAGATAGTATGTAGAACTCGACTGGTGCTACCCAGAACTCCGATCAGAACTCCTCCATTGTCTCTCTATTCCAAATTTTTCAAATAACTTTTTTTTTTCCAGTCGGTCCCTTGTTTTCGCTCATGAAAACTAAAGTTTCGATTTTAGAGAAAAAAGTTACCTAGATAGTATGTGGAACTCGACTGGTGCTACCCAGAACTCCGATCCGAACTTTAGAAAGAGGTATAGATGCTACATGAGCGTATGAAATGTCCCTATCAAAAATAGGAATAACTTTGTTATTTCGGCGGAACTATCGTTGAAATATATCAGGGACTCCAGAACTCTTTCAGATACGTCAAACTTTCTCATCAGAACTCTTTTCCGAGCTCTTTTTTGTGAAAAAGCGGCGCCGCGTGAAGTTAGCACCCACAATTTTGTTTTTCGGTTATTTTCTACAACTAACCAGAACTATTGAAATTTCTTGTCAGGAACTCCAGAACTCTATCGTATCTACCCAGAACTCCGATAAAATTCAGTTTTTC